TGGATACTTGAATAATAAATGAAATTTAACGATAAAGTTAATATTTTCATTTTAATGTGGTTTGGTTCCCGCTTTAAAAGTCGCTCCTTTAATTTTAAAGTTTATTATGTCATTAACAGTTAAGTAAATATTAAATTATAAAAAGGAGAAACAATGACAAAAAAATGAGGAATCATTAAAAAATTTTTAATATCATTTTGTGTGTAAAGAAAGCTTTTCATGTAAAAAAAAAACTATTATTATAAATTTGCCATTGTGGATTAATCTAGGGCTTTTTCTCAAAGTTGATAGCACATGACTTAAAAAGAATTTTTTTCACTAGCAGCCATGCCGCATGCAAATGTCGACTCATTTAGAGGTAGCAAATTCAATTTTTGCGACCACCGGTTCAAAAAGAAAAATTGAGGTTATGTACGCAATATTTGATGTGATTATTTCTTAAAAAATGAACAAATGTGTGCTACAAACATTACTTGAGTATACGCATGGTAGTTGGTAGACGGTAGAAGGTAAAATAATTAACTCAGCGACACGTATAAACGGTTTTCTTTGTGTTGAAGATTTAGATTAAGTTTGATTAGAAATCAAAACAAATTCATATTGCGTCAAAAAATTGAACGTTTATTTTTTCAGTTTATTGTCTTATGGTTTCTACTAGTGAAAAAAATAGTATATTAACCACGGTTGCAAAGCCACTTCTAGACCTCGCGCTTCAGAGCCCTCGACGCTGCGCGTCTCGGGTTCTAATTTGCGCTCGGTCTAGAATGCTTGGCTCTGCAACCTTGGCTAATAATATACTATTAATAAAATATGAGTATGTTGTAATTTTCTTTATAGACACAATACATGCTAAATTATGACGTGTAAAATGCAGCTGTATTTTTTTGTCGGATGCTTCTTTCGTTGAGTACATTTTTACTTTCCCAGCGTAAGCTAAGGAAGCATTGTAATAGGGTTCATCCGACGAATGCCTATTTTCGTGTTTTCTGGACATTTCATGACCCTCTCTAGAGTAGGAAACAATAGGTCTCTCGTTTCCGTCTGTTTATATGCAGCCGTCTGCCCGCCGTGTGTGTCGATTTTCATTAGACAGATAATCTCCAGAACTACCGGACGAATGGTCAAATTTTATATGTGTGTTAGAAATATTGTGTAAATGGTAAAAGTAACCAAATTTTGTCTGGTCATTTTCACCCACGCTGTAATCACGTCACCTTAAAATTTTGTTTAGTAAACGCCATTTGAATTTTATAAAATAGTATACTCATGTACTTGTGCTTTATGAATCCGCCTTGTTTTTGTTATTGCAATTTTTATTTTTTAAACCTTGTGCTTCTTTGGTTACATAATATCCACTAATATGCAGTCTGTAAGCCTAACTCTGGACCTGTGGAGGGGCGATTCGATTTCCGGTAGTGTTTCCAATTTTTTTATTGATAAAATTAAGAACAGTTTCTCATTTTCTTATGATTAATTAGTATTACACTGCACGTGTTGGAATTTACATGTATGTCCTTGCTGATATGTTGATCAGAACATTTTCCGATGCGAAAGTTCAGTAGAAACACAAATTATAGCCTTGCGCTTTATTATTGCAGTAATTGTTAATCGAGGCTCCGTTTTCTATCATCGGTGGAGAAGTGCAAATTGACACTCTGCACCAAACCATGTAATATAAATAAGCCAACAGAATGTGTTTTCGTAACATAATGCGTTCGAATTAAAGGCAGTGGTGGAGTATGGGTGATTGAAGGATAATATTTATATTCTTCTTTCTGAACAAGTGGATTTATTTAATTGTACTTCCGGGACTAGGACAGTTCTGTGTAATAATAAAAGATCGATTTTTTACAGTTGAACCTGCAGTAATATAATTTATAAGTGATAAGTGTTATTGCATCGCTTTGTTGTTTGTGATCAAAAGCCTTTTTGGGAACTATTAGCCTTACTTTTGTTGTTTTTAAGGTCATGGAACGATTATTGTTTCTAACCATAGAGAGCTCTCCTTAACCCATCACAATATCAAACGAATGGGTTTTTTCCGGGTGGATTAATTTATTAAGTCATCTTTTCCAAGTAAATTACCGAAGATTAATGCCTTGCATCTAAAGTCCAGATGATTTTGCAAAAACTTTTGATAATCCCGAGATCAAGATGATTCCACAAACTTGAACAATTTGTAGTGAAAAGACCATCGATTTATTTTTTCAAGGATCGTGGTTTTAGATTTTTAGACCACCAATTTTCCCATGGGATCTTGGACCTAAGTAATATATTTTTTTTGTAGATGATACTAAATGTAAATGCCAATTTAGTTTGTCCTCAATCGCCATTACATAGTTCAAAATGTGTCACTTTACATATTGAGAAAAGAAATCCTAAATATGATCTTAATTCATATTCCAGGCTACGCGAACACGAACTCAATCTGGTAATAGCGATTTTCAACACTAAAATTCTTCAAGGGTTTCTGTCTAACACAATCTTGCGTTTCTGGAACAATTTATCTAAACATTTGGTTGCTGCTTCTTCTGTAAACTCATTTAAAAATGGTCTTGGTTCTTAAGTCGAACAGCATATCTAACCTAACTTCAGATATCCTCATTAGAACGAAAGTGACCATCAGCGGACTGAGTGGGAGTCAGAGACATGGTAAATGGCTAACCACAATGTGCCTCAACGTTTATTTTTACTATTTTTAATACCTTGTTTGTCCCATAAATATTGTTTATATTAGTTTCTTTTTCGTTTGTTTGTATATTTTTACCTTTTTATTAGTACAATTCGCATTGGTTACTAGATACTTTAACTATTTGAGGACTAATTAAATTATTATTGATACTGTTTTAGTATCTTTATTTGAAATATATAATTCAGTTTTAGTCTCTCTATTATTTTTTAGTGTTTTATTTTAATTTGCTATTTTCGCTGTAAGTATTGAGGGTGATCCTAGAAATGTTAAATTTAAATAAAATATTTTTAATTACAGATAATACAGAGAATACAGATTATTAATTAATACTAATACAGTGTCTATAAATGGATTCATACATCCAGCACTCGTTGGAAAATTTTATTTTTTACTTCTTGAGCGTAAGCTAAAGTGTTTGTTTTTTATATTGCTACTGCTAATATCTATTACATTTTTTATTGATCAAATCTCAAGAACGGTACACTCCTGCAAGTGTCGGAATTGACATACTTGTCCTTGCCGAGCGGAATATTCTCGTATGAGAAAACTCACTAATGCATTCATATTTTTGGAGCAATTGTTAGTCCGTTTTTTATTATGGCTACTCCAGAATATAAACAAATGTGTTTACGTAACATAAGGCGTTCGAATCAGATAGTGGCGGGCTATGGGTGATTAAAGCAACGGGTTTTTTGATTGAATAAAAATCACTCAGAGTAGGCGTTCGAATTTCACATTATGCGCTGTTTGTGTCAAATGAAATTTCAACGCATACTGTGAGTGATTTTTCAACACCCACTATAATACATTAATGAATTCAGGAAAACAAGCTCTACAAGAACCTGTAAACAATTCATAGTGTCATTAAAAAAAAGTTGGATGTTGTAGACAAACAAAAAATATAGGGTGTCAAATCACATTCATAGGATTTAGTTTTTTCACTGTTACGGGTTTTATTTATCTTTTATATTTGTATTAATGTATAGAGGTTATCATAAATAAATGTTCGGAAAATCTTTTTTTTTTAATTTTCCAAAAAGCGGGCTTTATTGGGCTGTGCTTCAGGGGCGAAGGAAGTCCTGTTGAAATAATCTTCAACCAAGTTTTCTAAATTAAAGGATTTTGGGACTTGTAAGAAAAGATGTTCTAACATACAGTTTTAGTTGTTCATTTTTGCTTAAAGTTAAAAAGGTTATTATTTAGAAACGAACGATATTTCCTTGTAAAAAGCAAAGAAAAATAACTTTTCTATAATAATTGTAACATCTTAGAAGTGGATTTTCCTTTAATTTGTTCGAAACTTGATAAAGTATCTTTTGCAGAAAGTGTCGGCAAGATATCACTAATTGGAACACACATTTTCTAATGTTGTTTTGACTTATTTTGTTATACTTTTATCTACTTGCAAACGGATTGGTTATTCCGAACTTTTTCACATTACCGTAGACCTGCAAAAATCGTGAATTATAGTAACAAACCGTCTTTAGAGCCAGTAATATTGCTTTTTATACACCAACTGTTATATAAAAATATATTTAAATTTTATAAAAAGACATGATAAATATTATAAATGAACGAATGTTTGCGTAAAACGCAACGGATCAACACAAATTGGAAAAGACGACTCGTCTTTCCACTCGGCATTTGAAAAATAGCTGGTTGAATTAAATTCAGCAGACTTGAGAACATTTGGATTTATTCGTGTCGCACTAATAAACGCTTTCTTATAGCTTAAAGTAGAATTAATGTGATAAGACAGTCTCGGAGAATGCGTTTAAATTTAATGGAATCTACTGGATAAGCTTTCATGATTAAATAAGGAACTTAATGAAATAAAATCTGTCGGGTTATTTACATCGAACTTGTCGCACCATCGTAGTGTCACTGTACTTTTTTTTAGATATAAAGCACCACTTAAACCTTCGGAGTGAGTGTTTCGTTAATTTCAGAGTTCTGTGTAATAAAAATTAGACGAATGCGATAAAAGCATAAAACCTTCTTTGTAATTATTGTATAGATAGAAAAACGATTTTTTGTTATCTCGTAAGCAGACACGTTAACGTTCCTTTGAGTAATTTTTTCCATTAAGAATCATTTAGAATACTGCAAAAATAGCTGATCTTGGGCGTTTTTTCCTCCTACGAAGTCCACTAAGCTTTTAGCCGACGACCGTTCTTACAACGAAATGAAAACTAAATCGTTTTTTTTTTTTCTTGGATACCCGAGAAAACGCGAGTAGCATGCAAATGAACCCGCGACGACATAATAAGTGTGATGCACTATCGATTAACCATGAGCTAGGTCTTACCAGTGAGGCTTACACACAGCGTCCAGATTCCTCCGTGCATAGGAACAAGAAAAGCTAGGATCTTGTCCCGATCATCATTGGTGGAAACTCTGGCAACGATCCCGTCCAAGAGCCATCGCAACCTGACTGAACTATTGGCCAAATGTTCCAGAGCTGTGCGGTCCCACGTAACCTCCTCCCAATGGTCGGTCATAATGGCAGCGCATAACATCCCTGTGGCGCAGGTTGTCAACAGGAGCGTCCCCAACAAGAAAAACACGCTCGGGTGGACGCTGCAGTTCCATCCCGATTCGTCCTCCGCAGGACTAGGCATCTATGGAATGTTTTTTCACAATGCTTGCGAACGGCGTGGAAAGGAAAGTGAACATTAAGTGGGTTTTTAGAAGCTTAATAAATGCGGAGATCTTAAGCTGTTTATCAAGTTTTTACCGACAAAGAATCGGGAGCTTGTTTAAAACGAGGAATTTGTGCTGTTGAGGTTAATTTTGTGGGGTGAGCTTTTCAAAACCAAAACGTCTTTTTAATAACAAGAGTAATAAGAAGGTGCGTGGTAATCATATTAGGCAAACTAAGTGGTTATTATCACAGGAGGCGGTAAATGCAGATTTAAATTACTTTCTATTACTTTGAGAATTTTTGCAAAAATTTTTTTTTCGAAAACTGTCGTCAAATGTTGACATTTTCGTTAAATTTTCAGTGGGCAAAGTGATTCTTTTTTGTCACATCACCGCAAAACACTTTTTCGTTCTATACTCGTCTATAGAACGGCAGACTTTTTCCTTCTGGAACGTAAAAGAACTGATTTTTATTGTTTGTTACGTTGCTATGGATCGTCTTGATTCAAAAATTCACTTGATTTTGCTTTCATTTTATTGGATTCTCGTAATTCTTTTTTGAGTTTCCGCTAATGTGGAGCTGTTTAGTTTTCGAAAAAACATTGTTTGATACTCGATTGATAAATTCATTTGCATTCTCGAATGTTATTAGTGTATTTTCTGCTCATATTGAGACAATGTAGTAGATGATGTTAACTCTAAAAATGTCTGCTAAATGGACTCGGCATTTACTAACCATGATGGTTAGTGAATGCAAATAAACTACAAATTGATCGTGAAACGAACTGTGTATAAAGTAGGAGTGGCCATAATTATATATTTATTTTTCTCGGGCATACTTGCATAATTTCAATTCGTGTTTCATTTCTTTTAAAAACGAATTGTTGATGAAAATTTCTTATTGATGTATGCATAGACACATACCATAGTAATTATGAATATGAAAACGGCAAAAAATCTTAGGTACAGGTGTCCCAGATAAAGCTCTGTGACATCCATATCTTGGAAACCGATACAGATACTGAAATTTTGTAGACGTTATTGCTTTTAGCTTGAACAAAAAAGCTCAATTTAGTACATTCGGTGTTTATTTAATTTTCAGTGGATAAAAAAATCAAATTTATGAATATAAAAAAATTGAAGTTAAATGAAATAAAGTAGTATTACTTTATTTTACAAATAGCTAGTAAGTAAAGTAAACGTAGATATAAATAAATTATAATTTTGGTCGCGCGACTAAGTTTCAATCAAAAGTTAGGTGGCTGAAAATGTAAGAGTAATGATTTCATCCAAAAAAAAACCTTGCTTTAAGTAAATATACAAATTTAATTGGATTTTTGAAACGACGGAGTGAAGGATATCGCGCCAAAAAATCCAAAAGCTTCACCAAGCAAGACATCGAAAAGTTTCCAAAGACAGCCAATGACGAGGACCGCTTAACGCAAAAAGTATGAGCTACAAATTTAATCATCGTTTTCCTTTTTTTAGGTCGTTTTAATTTCTAGTCACTACAAATTTAATCATCGTTTTCCTTTTTTTAGGTCGTTTTAATAATAGGAATTACGGGAGCATACCGTAGACAAGAACTGCTTAATATTGTTATAACTTTGACCTCTTTGTTTCTGTATGTCTGTCTGTGGTACCCGAACTTTCAAACAGATGAACCGATTTCAATCCCTTTTTTTTTGCTTGAAAGTTGGTTTAATAGGAATGGTTCTTAGCTACGTTTGATGATAATAATGTCAGCCATTTTTAACTTTCAGATCTTTTCTGTGGCACCGCAACTCCCAAATGGATGAACCGATTTCAATACGGTTTTTTTCGTTGAAAGCTAGGTTAATCGGGATGGTTCTTAGCTGTGTTTGATGAAAATCGCTTTAGACTTTTCAAGATCATCAGCTGTCTGTATCCGTGTCTGTTGCACCATAACTTCCAAACGAATGAGCCGATTTCAATGCGGTTTTTTTCTTTGCAAGCTGGTTTAATCGGAAGGGAAACTGCATTTTGTAGTGTGATTCAGTTCTTTTTGGTAGGAAAAATCACGAAATTCATGAAAGGATTTTTCCAACATTGGGATATTCATTTTCTTTTTATAAAGCCACTCTCCTTGGGTGAAAACGAGTTTAAACATGGGATAACATCCGTTGAAGACGCACCACGTTCTGGAGATCCAAAAACTGCCGTCATACCAGAAATCAATGACAAAGTCCATGGTATGGAACAGGTAGCCGTAGCTACAGGCATCTCAATTAAGAAATTTGAATTGAGGTCTTATCACTTTGAAACCTTTGTCTGTGTATGGAACTGGTGAACTTATATCAGTTGTTTTTTTTTTTTTGAAAGCTGGTTTAATCGATATGGTCTTTATTATATTTTCGTAGCAAGTTTTAATTAATTTCAGACTTCCTAAGGATCAATTATTTTGTCGGGAGTTTAACACTTGTTTATTTTATTTATTTAAAATATACTAAAACAGTTTTATGTGTGCTGTGAATTTAAGTCAACAATTCTGTGAGTTAAAATTAGAAATTTTACCTACTTCTAATCAATAAGTTTTAATTAGTTCCATTACGTATCTAAATGAAATCTGTAGGTTAAAATTAAATTTAGTCTAGATTGACAGACCATTCAAAATCATTAAATTCTATAACACTGTAACAAGAGTAGCCTAACATCCAATGATAGAAAGGTTTGAATTACTAATACTACTAGTAAGTAAAGTAACATTGTAACATATTTTTACAAATGTAAAATGTACCTTTTAGTGAGTGAAATCGGTTTGAGTGAAAAAGGTTTGAATTACTAATACTACTAGTAAGTAAAGTAACATTGTAACATATTTTTACAAATGTAAAATGTACCTTTTAGTGAGTGAAATCGGTTAATTAAAAATATGGTATTTTTTCAAGTTGTTTTTTTTACCTTCAAAATATGCTTAAATTTCGTTTAAATTATATAGAGAGTGAGTCACTGAGAACGCGCTAATCGATATCTCATTAATTACTTGAAATGGAAAAAAGTTAAAGACCAAAGTTGTACGACTCTTTAAGGACTATTAAATTATTTTCAATTGTACAGACTTGTTTTTAAGGTCAAACACACTACTTCGTTTTTTCAAATGGAACACATTTTTTTTTACATTTTCTAGTTCAAGTTCCTTAGGTTCTATGACCGAAATTAATTTTTGAAATTCCACTGCGAAGTTGCTATGTTATTCCAATTTTCTTGAAATTTGTAAAAAGAGTAATAAGTTTTTTTATATTAAATGGTTACAATTATCAATTTTTTTCGGTATGTGAAAATTGTGACGTTTTAGATTTTTTGTAAACACCCTTTGTATTAAAATTTTATTTAATGTTTACCATAATAAAGCGCATATCTCTGATTATCTCTCCAGAAAAATTAGATCTTAAAAGTACTATTGCAGTTTTTTTGTAAAACCTCGCATTGTTAAAAAGTTCAAGAAAATTGGAATAACGTGGCAACTTTGCATGGGAATTTTAAAAATAAACAATGATTATTAGAAAACCTAGGGAAAGGGTAATGGATATATAAATATATACATATAGGGTGTTGTATTAAAACAAAGTTATGAGCTATGCCTAAAAAAAAACTGTGTATAAAAACCGTACAACTTTGGTCCTTAATGTTTTTTCTGAATAATTAATAAAAGATCGAGGACCGCGGGCTTAATGACTCACCCTGTATATATTATATATGTAGGAATTGTGCCATAAATTAACACTTCTTTTCTCTTTAGTTACTCTTTAAAGCAGTTGTAAACCGATCAAACTTTTTAATGGGCAAGTCGAACAAATGTCCGAAAAATGTAATGTCGTAATTGTACTCTTTACGCTTACTTTTTGCAGTTTTTTCGTTCACACTTGTTATTTTTACTTTCCTAGTTATTTTTTTTATCTGCTTTATTTGATTATTTAGAACTTTATAGTTTTTTTTTTATTTGAACACAAACATATTGACATGTTGCAGAAATAAATGATTAAGTATATTAATAAAAACATCCCAATAGTCGTATTTTTTGGGTGACCAATGGTGAAAAAATGTAGTGTGATAAGTTAATTAGTTCTTTTCTTATTAAAAACCGACAAAAACTGATGTCAGAAGAAAGCAAAAACTTATTAAAAGTGCATTAAATATTCACAACAATCTGTAGACGGCTATTCATGCCGGCGACGAATACCAAATTTAGTCGTTCCACAGGAATAACAAACTTTGACTAAAGTTGTAAATCAGAACGATCATAACATAACTAGTTTCGGTCAAACATCTACCTGCGATACACTAATCCAGTCCATCCCTTTATAAATAATTAGATTATTCCTGTGGGACGTGGAGATATTGTTATGCCATTGGTGCAACTACGCCATCACTTATAGTCGGCAGGGCCAAACAGTGACTTTACTTTCTGTTTCCAAAAGTGCGAAGCCCCAAATAAACTGCACATGTCATACTGTAACCTCACTTCACATACACCTTGCAAAATTTTATGACTTAAGCGGCTTAAGCCAAACCACCCTTATAAGTCAAACTGGGTATTGTAAGGTTTATGCACCCGAACCGCAAGGATTATTACTGTCCATTGTTGCCATAATGGAGCTGTGAACTGAGTTAAGTTATACAATAGCCAGTTTGACTTATAAGGATGGTTTGGCTCAAGCCGCTTAAGTCATAAAATTTTACAAAGTGTATGTCAAGTGATGTTACAGTATAACAGTGACGATTTACAACGTTTGCCTGATTTTGGGTTGCTTGGCTTACACAAAGGGCTCTACGGTCTTCTCAGGTAAGCGGTTTTGTATGTGTGTTTTGACGGTTACAATAACAGTTATTTATTTCCTCAAGCGTTCCTGTACATTTGATTCATAGGACCTTTGTTCCTTTCAGATAAGCGCTCGGAGAGAAGCTCATGGCTGTAGATTATCATGGCCATAATCCTAAACGCGTCAATGTTCATTATTTGGCCGTCTCGACTATACGTTGCGGAATTTCCCTCCATTGTGCAATAGAAAAAAAAAAATGATTCGGAAATGTTGCGATGTATTACTTAAGAACCACCGATTTTAGTATTCCTGTCATGTTAAGCCTATTTTTAAAATGAATGTCATTCCCAAATAGCATGGTTATAAATCGCCATTCTTATCTAGGAATGTGTAAATAATAAAATGTTATGGTTATAGGGTGGTTTTACGCAAATAACTACTCCTATATCTCGTCTATTTTTATTTATACATGGTCGATACGGAAATGACTTCGGATTTACACCGAATGCAGTGGAAGTTACGGAGGAAAATTGAAAAGCTCATTTTTAAATTTTGTAATAATTCAGCAAGATCAATCAGTTGTTTGTTCCAAAAAACAGTAGTTTAAAAAGTATCCCAAGACTTAATTGCCTGTTTTATTGTCTCGACTTTCTAAACGCTTAGTATGCAAACCTACGCGTAAACTTCACTTCTGATTGTTTTAGTATAAGAAGTTAATTACAAAATGTTGCCTCATACTGCGTTTCTTAGGTCGCACATCCACTTCCACCCGTACAAATTAGTTTAGGATCAAGAAATTTGATTTAGCTCCGGAAAATTGAGTCTCCAATTTCATCGGTCGCGGATGTTGTTTACCCTTTCCTTTCCACGTGCATATGCCGAATTTGGTCTAATACAACTTACCCAACCCTGTTCCTCGGTTTCTGTATTCTCCATCAAAGTGTCGCAATCGACTATGAGGAGATCGTATTCTTGTTGGTGCTTCAGCTTGATGGCGTTCTTGACGAACTGGAAGAAGTATTTTAAGGATTGAATGGTTGATGTTTCTTTCGAATGTTGCAAGGAAGATTATCAGCTTTATTAGCTCCAGAAGTGGCGATGATCCGTTCTTTTTTCACATTATTGATAAAGTTTTGTTTGTGGGCGAAATCGATTCTTGTAGTTCTTCGTTTGGAGGCATGTCAAGGTCTAAACAGCCATAGCGAATGAAATAGGGTAACACGCCCTCGGTTGGTGATATCGTGTTTATTATGATTCCATTCGACTGACGTCAGGACGTGTGTCACCTGAAAATGTGGAGTTGTAGTAAGCTTATTATTCCATTTCGGCTTTATTGTAGGGGTCGTTGAACGTTTTTTTATTTTAGGTACGCATGGGTTTCGTATTGCGTTTCATTAAGCGAAATTTTCTCGTTAATCTTAGTTGGGGCGAAATTGGTCATGAAATATGAACTCTGTGTTGGCTCAAATTAGCAAATATTTTATACCTGCCGTTTCTCGTTCTCTTTAAAGTAAAACAGCTTTGCGTAAATGGCCGTGCTGTTTAGAATATTTAACAGGGTTATCTGTCATCATAATGAAACACATCTTGTTCATTTTTATGCAAATTAAGTGACAAATTAAGCATAAGAATGAATAATATTTTTGGGAAAATTAATTAACTTTCGTCTGGAGGAATAAACATGGTTCATGTTTTTAACACCACTGTTTTTAGTCTTAATAATTTACATAATTGTGATTCTGAATAATTTTTTTCTTCATCTGGCTTTTATGGTTCCATCGAGTTGATGAAGAATATGAGGGTACTTTTATGAATCATAGGTAACTTTGCAGATGAATTTGAATTTCAAGTTTTTTGTCTAAAAGTATATTCGTTTATAACGGTTTTGATGGACCGCGGGTTGATTAAAGTGAGTGTGAAAGGAACACTTTATAAAGTATTTTAGGAGATAATAAGGGTTTTGTCAAATTTGCCTCTAAGGCACGGACAAAAAATCAAGAGACTGATGAAAATTAACAACTTTATTAAAAATCGTTATATTATCAATTTCAAGTAATTGATCAAAATTGCTCCTCAATCTAAGTTTAATTATAGTGCTTTATTTTTTAACAAATTAAAATTTCTTATAAAATTAAAAGAAGTCTTCTTATGCCGTATTGTTATCTATTTAGTCTTACAAAGTCATACTCTTATGAAAAATTAAAATAACAAAAATAAACTTAAATCGTCTTCATTATTAAAATCCAAATGCAACTAAATTACTTTTACCATCTAAGGACTGACGACAAGGGACCGATGAATTTCATGGAAAAAAGAATACCTCTTGATTAAAATGACACAGTTTTATTTCATTTTCATGCGATTAACTTCAGACAAAAGGGAATAAAATAAAAGCTTATCAAAAACAGTTATCAAAAAATTATAACAATATTACTGACCAAACGACTGAAATTTTGAGCATCACAACACGTGTCCTTATGACCTATGAAAAATATTGTTTACATATTTAAATTTTGTTGGTCTTTACACTTCGTAGAGTATTCTGAAATATATAGAAATTAAAAATTTTCTGAAAAGAACTCGGTTGCCTAACTTACAGTTGCTGTTTCAGCTGCCTCATTAATTTCCGGTGGAGTGCCTATGAAATGTCTTCATTTTCAGTAAGATGGATGTACACATTACTGAAAATGAAGACATTTTCATCGGCACTCCACCGGAAATGAATGAGGAAGCTGAAACAGCAAATATTTTGGAAACAATTTTGTTTGCATACTTTCGAGGATAATTAAATTGTTATGGTTTTAATTTGATGCCGTAGAAAAACATGGTGCAACACGTTTATGATTATTATGATCCTTTAGTATTGGTTTTTTTTAATTTATGAACATTAAAAATGATTCAGTATATTTGATAATTAATTGTCGAAAGTACATATGAACACACAAATTACCCGAGTTTTGTAGAATCCCCCATCTATATTTTTTAATTATTTCTTTAAAACCCCTCTTGGTCCAATTTGCCATCACAGGCTAACTTTAATTGGCAGTTAGTTACTAAGGAAGTTTTTTATAAGTCGTTATTATTTGTTAGTTGTTTATATTCATATTTTGAATGATTAGAGAATAAATAGTAATTCTAAACCAATGTCATATGCATATTAGAAGGTATTTTTTGATAAAAACTTTTTAGTAATTTTTAATTTAGAAAGATAGATAATGATTAAACCACAGGTATTTAAATAAACATGTGCTGGTGTTTCAATGCATTGTGAAGTTATGATTTTTTTACAGAATTTGATTAAAGTTAGCTCTTTTGTTGTAAGTAGTAAAGTAAACTGCTTCATTTTTTCATTTTTGGGTCATTTTGAATGAACAGAACTAGAAAATAAAAGTATATCATCCGCGGACAAACAATATTTCATTCCTTGTAGATGTAGGACATGTATATAGATATTTAATACATTTTTGGAGGTAATATTCGCATTATTAAAGTTTTTTCGATTAGTAATAGTATCCATATTTCTAGATCGTGAAATATGAATTTGTGTTTCACAACTTCAGCCAATTACATGGGAGAATTTCATATTTCACGAGTACGTTGAGCCAATAAGAAAACACCTTTCGTAGTATGTACCATAACAACGATCATTATTTCAAACTGCCCGTGCGTATTCTAATCTAACAATCGACGAGAGGTGGTGTTGCCGTGCCATTTGCTTATTTATTATGTTTTTGTGCGTAGTTTAGGGTTTTGCATCTAATCATAATCTGCGTTATTCGTTGATAAGGGGAGTGAAGGAGTCAAAGTCGTAAAATCACTATATCTCTTGTGCCAGTATAATTCTGGCTTAATGTTGTTCTAGTGTAGAAACATATTACTACCGCAAATTGTTACATGCAACTCTAAAACAGTTTTCACACGTTTCATTTTAGTCCAAAGTAAAACGTACCTAAATTATTTATAATGCAAGGTAATGTAATGTTAACGTGGGATACCCCACATAAATAACTAACACCATGCGACCGAAAACAAAGGAAATTAGAATTCACTGGTTTTAAGGGTAGAATATGTTTTATGCATCATATCCTGTTGTCGTTATGATACTGCCAGAGCATAATTATCAATAACTGTGGTTTTAAAATCACAACAACGATAAACCTTTTTTGATGGGTGCTACATGTGCTAAGTGCTATTAGTCATTTATTATAAAATTAAAAATTCATTAATATTTATTAAATATGTATGTTTGTTTAATGATGTTAAATTCATAGTTATTTTAATTCTAAAAGATTTATTTTATCTAAAAGTGATTTTATACAACGGGATTTATTTAGTTGGCTCAATAATTCCCCGAGATGTTCTTACGCGAAGCATTTGTGTTTCGGGATAGAAGGCAGAAAATATTGCTTGGACTAGTCGCCACAAAATTCCACAGAACCACCAATTTATTTGAGACATTTTCCTCTATATGGTATAATACCTCATAATTCACATATTCACTCGTTTATTAAAATAAGCACTAAATAAATTTAGAACAATTAAAAATTGACGATGATTAAATGTTGTTTTGGGCTACTTAATGATAATAGCAGTGGTGAATTAAAGAAAAAAGATCAAATGTAAGCCCACTAAAATGAATTGTAAAACTTAAAAAAAAATCCTTATGGAAAGTTTGACGTTAATTGCAACTTTCAAATAGGCCAGTTAATGAAGTAGTATTATGGATGCTGGAATAGTTTCAATTACGTCACAGTGATTTCTAAAATCAATACGACTAATTGGTCATCAATATAAATAAAGTTATAAAGAAGCACTCTGTTGTGTTTCAAGAGACGTTTATTTTTCATACAAAGCTGATAGTGCAAAAGCAATAAAAAACTGCAATTTATGTACATAATTTAATAAGTATCTACAGTTTTCATTCAAACTTTCTTTAGCGAAGTTCTGCCTAACGTTATGGATTTTTTATTGTAATTCGAATTTCATTAGTTCGGAAATGTGACATTTATTAAAATCTGCCAAGAACCATTTTCAACTACTTACACATAAACTTCAGCAGTTTCTTTTTCTTAAAAAGAGTTTTTGGGCCACTGCTCGCATTGAAAGCATTGAATAAGTACAAATTTCATTTAAATATAGTAGAAAGTTACTAGGAAAAGATAAAATGGCTTGCAAAAGTTTTCCGTTTCTCTGAAATTCTAAATATTAAAGAAACATATTTGCCTTTATTCGTATTCACTTTATCTTGCGTTTTTTTACCGTTTTTAACAATTAATTTTTTGTTTATTACACTGAACGTAGTAAGGAGTTGCAGTTTTCACCTCTTTGACGTGTGACTTAAGTCTACAACACTACCCTATGCAGTATTTCGGTATTTTTACGTGTTAATTATACTTTTACATAATCTATTTAAGATGCTTGAAAAGCAGAAAAAAATCGGCTGGAAATACAATTTCAAAGGTATTCTGTTGCGTGTTTATTTTGTACTTGCAAGAGTGTAGAGAAAATAATTGTACTGAATATTTGCTGAATTATTATTGGAGGAATACAAGTGGTACAAGATTAGTCTTTTGTTTAGTCGATAGAGTATAATGCTTATAAACATTTTGTTTTATGTGAGAGTTTTCGCGGTCGTATTGCCGATTCGTGCAAACCACACCCACTACCCGAGACAGTCGGTATCTATAAGTGCTTCAATTTAATTTATATTCATTAAAATTTTTATTATAGTTCTTCTTGAAGCTTAAATTTTTCTCTTATAATTAGAAATATACTTGAAATTCGACAGAATTTCTTTTTAAACTGAGAATTGTCAGGTGCAGGTTGCTCTGAATTAATTTTTGGAAAAGTGCCGTCTATTTTTTCGTTAAGTTAAAAATTTTTAAACATGGATGTCGATTGAAATGAGAATTGTGAGATTTTTGAGATAGGACTAAATGAATAAAAGGTCTGAAGTTATTTCGGTACAACTTCCCTTGACTCCTTGAGTACAAATACAGCTTTTTCGAAAAATTATAAAATTAGATTTTACGAATGCTGTGTATATGTTTCAAGTGAGTTTTTCCATAGCAAAATTTTGTAATGATGTTATCAACACCTATATCAATTTGAATAGGTGTAATATAATACTAATAACAGTACGGTCTACTCAAATTTTCCGGAAAATAGGGTGAACCGTTTTTGATTTGATCATTATAATTCACTTTTGTTTTAAATACCTGTATAGGTAATTCTAAAAATTATGAATGCCCTGGTAAAGCACAACTATAGAGTGATGATATTTTGC